GTTGATTTTATCTATTTGTGTATTGATTAATGATATGAACTAAATTGTTTTGTTTTATTTGGCAGCACACTCCTCGGATTATTGAGAGCATACCGGATGCAAATGATGCGCCCTGAGGCCATGAGAGGCTTTCTCGAAGGTTTTTATTTTGTATTCGCCTTTTATGTGATTTTCGTTTCGTTCCTTGGTACCTCAGATATATTTGTCTGATCAAATGAATTTATTTTTGTGTTATTGTGAACAATAGTAAATGGAAATAATAACTACCATATTATCTTCTAGGACTTGTTTTGCTCCTTTATGTTAACTGAAATTGTATCTCTGAATATCCGTATTTCTTTGTAAATGATTCGCTTTGTGTGGTTCATTAGAAAATTTTAGTTTCAGCACAACCCTGTTACTACTAAAAATGACCAAAATATGTGAGAAAGGTCTTACTTTCTTTTATTTTGGGAGAAATTTTTGGAACTTAGTCATGTGGTGTTTATTGCTTCTTAAATACCTGTGATTTTGGGGATTTGGCTCAATATTTGGTGTAATGTTTATGCATACATCCTTTCAAGATTCTTAAATGAATCAATAATTACCAGTACCCTCTTTCGAAGTGGGCTTCTCTGATGTTCTCACCAACTGAGATAAGAAACTGGAGACTCGAGGTAAGAAAGTGCGTATGTAGCAATAGGAGCAGATTAGTATGAATAAATGATGGGTTTTCCACTAAAAATAAAAAAAAAAACACAATATATGTGAACAACTATAGCATACGAAGCTATAACAACTTATGACAAATTTTTACTGTAGTTTTACACGGGCTGTTAGACCGCCGTGCGTGCACGGCGTGAGCAAATCTAGTATATATATATATATCTACTATACATATAAGCAAACATTGAGGACCAATTCTTAGGCCGACACGTGTCCTTTTTGGACTAAAATGACCTTCCTTTAATCCCCGAATTGCCCTCAACTTTTTCTGCTTTTTGGGGTTGATGTGTAAATTCATTTTATCCTTGATGTTTGACTTTAGCGTATCAGGAAATTCTGATTTGCTTTTTGACTGCTTTCTTCGTTTTTCGCTTTTTGCCCTCATCTTTCCCTGTTACTCTTTGATTCTTGCACGTCTCTTTATACCTCAGTGATTGAATAGACCTCATTCTGTTCACTTTCGAAACCCTGATTCTTCTCTCCTAACAAAGGGCTCAATCTCTCTTCAGACGAAGCCTCTCCGAGCTCCTCGCCCGAGCAACCGCCGCCATGGCGGAGTTCTTGAGCTCCGTCGAGTTCGACAAAAAAGAGGTAGGCGAAGAACTCCCCCACCAGATTCGTGCAATTCGCCCCCAAATCTGATAGCCCCGTGTGCGTGAAGAACCCCAACTGCGACAAATCGATCGATCTCAGCATCCCCTGTACCGGCGAGAAATCAGTGATCCTCGGCACATCGAAAGATCCAGCGCCACCGTGTGAGGGTACCAACCCAGCGCCTTTTGTGCTATTTTTTTTTTCAGCTTGTGTGTTGGTGAGGATTTATTTTGTAATGGGTATTTGTTGATATTAAAGGCATTAATTTCGTGGTTTTGTCTGTGCTGAGATTTCAATTTTCCACACACGCAGCAGAGTGCAAGCTTCTCTCAATTTTAAACCCCCCATGATTATATGTCCTTCATGCTCTCCGGCCCTACTTTCACTTCCTGAGATGGTCGTTGCCAAGACCAACTTGAAGAATATTAGGGGTTTTTCCACAACTTCTCATGTCGTCTCTTGCTGTCCCGTGATACTGAAGAACGTCAGACGGAGTTAAAGCCAACATTATGGAGGTATTCCCTGAGCTATATGTAGCTGGTATGAACTTACCAATCGATGAATATATATTTCTTTCGTCAATTTTGATTTTATTCTATGTCTTTTCTCGAACTTGCAGCAAGATGTATTCTTTTTTACTTATGCTCATGTATTCAAAAATGGCCATGTTGACTCAGTCATTTTATGATTTATATATTTTGGTATGAGACTAAAGATCATACTTAACCTTTTCATTTGTGTGTCTTACTACGGTTGAATTGCCATGTCCTTTTCTTTGGTAACTGATGTGCACCTGGTAAGTCCCCGTGAAGCTTGATGGTTATTATTACTCTAAATTTGTTAAAACTCTATTTTTTCAGATGTCGATGATATCACTTAGATTAAAGATAAAATGTTACAGGATGTAGGTAAAAATAATGCATTGTCGAGCTTTTCGCAAATTATATGCGTCCAAGAAGGGAGTCCTCATCTACCTGATGTGTGTAACACTTCTCAGATGGGTTTTGGTAAGAAAATTATTACTTGTTGTAAAATACTAGATGAATATCGTGTCTCAGTTGAAACCTTTGGATAATTGCAAAAAATCATATCCAGAAGTGCCACGGCTTCTTCTGATCACCCCTGAAATTTAGTCATAATAGCCAGTCATCTCCAAAAAGCACTCTTAAAAAATTGCGAATACACCTTCCTGGTATGTAAGCGAAAAAATTGCAAAAGGGGTACCCAAATTTTTTTAATATGAACCGGTAGTCTGGATCATTTTTATGGTTAGGCAATTCAGGGGTATTTTTGCAATGTATCCTTTAAGTATATGAGTATGTATGATGGTTAAAGTTCATTTTCTCCTTAAATACCTAACCTCTTTCAAGTATGAGCAAGTCTTCTTCAATGATCATCGAGCGGGGGAAGTGGTCTACGTGCAGGATTGGTCGTAGGTTCCTACCCGAGAAGACTTACACGACTGACCATGAATCTTGTAGAGATATACATTACATAAATACCATTGTCTTTACAAACGCAAGATATTGTTGTTCAGTATGTCTACATAATAATCATTTGTGTGTGGGGACTCAATAAAAGTTATCATTTTTACGTTTTTTTGTTTGAGTTTCTATAGAAGATTTCGAGCAAATACATATTTTCACTGGAACAAAAAAGTTTCAATGTTAGACTGATTGCAGACTGATTCTCTGCTTTGCTTGAGATTTATTCATATGTTTATTTTTACAAGTCTGATTTTGGTCAATTTGCAAAATAAATTTGCTTTGGGGATAATATGGAATAATTGATTTGGGCCGAAACAGTTTTAATGGCTTCGGCCGCCTAGACATTTTTAGAATAGTGCTATACTGTAATAGAATAAAATTTATTTGAATAAATAACTTAAAAAAAACAAGTTAAATGTTTATTTTACAATGTTAAGCTCATGAAATGTTGAGTCTTACTTTATAAGATTAACAGGTGGCACTGGGCCCGAAGGAGAGAGTTGTACTTCACATGAATCGGGCCCAGTGCCACCTGTTGCTGCAATAGTTGTTGGCGGCTAAAAGCGGTGGGAGGAGCCTATCGAGGTGGGCCCAGGCGTTCGACATGTCCGGGATGACCAAGGAGAGCCTTCTGGATGCAATTCTGTTTGTGAACGAATTTTCCCTCTAGGCTGATTCGGACTTTCGTTGAGGCAGAAAAAGATCCCGGATTATGCTGCGCAACTCGTGAGGAAACAGATGAGGGTCGCGTGGCTATTTTGGGAGGCTGCCGCTAAGCATGGCGGCATTTGTGCGAGGGTGGGCCCAGTGATGGCCGTGGACACGAGTGATGATTCCGAGTGGAAGACTGCGAGTGAGAGTGATATGGGGAATGGTGATGGTGAGAAGAAAGGTGAATCGGGTGGTGATGATTCCGTGAGGAAAGAGAGAGGTGGGAGAGCATCAATGAGAGGTACCCTTCGTGTTATTATTTATGCATTATTTTAGTTGGTGTTGTAATACTTTTTTTTCATTCGTTCTTTGTTTTCTTCTCTTTTGTTTCAAGGATTTGGTAGATCGCTTGGCTTATATAAGACTTTGATTACCTTGTGTGACTCTTTTTTTGGTTTGATGATGATCGTTTAGTTCATCTTATTTTGATTTGGTTTTTGGTTGGCTTCTATTGCAATCCTTAAATTAACGAGGAAAAATCTTTA